ATCATACCTCTCCTTACCTAAATCTTTCCTCCTTTTAAGTTCATTGATATTTACATTTATGTCTTTCACAGCAGCAAATGCATCCTCCAATGCTCTGTAATCTGGATGAGAAGGAGGGGTAGAATTCCGAAGTTCACACAGTAATAAGGGGTATTTCATCACACGCTGAATTGGTTTGATCATCAAAGAGCCCATGTCCAGTAAGTTTGGTTTGCCTCTATAATAGAGATAAATAATATCAGTTTCATAAATTTTTGTTTTATTAATTCCTTTTCCTTTTTATGATAAATTTTAAAACTCTTTTTCTCATTTTTTTCTCTATTTGTCTAAATAAAATGTCTAAATGAAAGCAAGAGCAAAAGATAACAGAAAGAAACAAAGCTGAGAATTCCTATTATTAAACCAAAGCATAAGAGAAAACCAATTTGATATAAAGGGATTTGAGGAATGATTTTCATCCAGGTTCTACTTACAGTTCTTTATAATAGGCTATATAACAATAGTGGGAAACAATTTCAGAATGTGTTTTTCCATGACAATCAAGGAAAGTGCATTTTGTAAAAAAACAATTTTAATGATTTTTAGTGAGGAAAATAAACTCTTGATGCAAAAATCTAAATAGATGTTAGAATTCTGGGAAGATAGCAGCATAAACAAATAGTTATTCCAGCTCCTGCCTCCCCCCTCAACACACAAATACAACAAGGAAACAGTAATTAGCTTTGAAAGACTTTGAATCAGGGAGCAGAGGAAAGCAGTGAGGAACTGCAGACAGGCAAGAATCAACAAATCAGCAATGAGACATACAGTAAGAAAACTTTCTTCCACTGTCCCTGCCCCTACCCCAACCACGTGGGCTACCAGTTGCTGTGAACTGGGTTAGTGGCCTTAGAAAAAGAGCCTGCTTCCCTAACCATCTGTGGTAGTTAAGGTTATGTGTCAACTTGGTTAGGCCTGGTTTTCAGTGGCTGGGCAGCTGGATGTAGTATTATTCCCTATGATGAGACTGGTAATCAACTCCATGGTAGAATCCACTGTGAACAACTGAGTAGCTGCCTTACGGACGTGGTCTACTCTCAGCGTATAAGAAAAAGCTTTAGGAATGGTCTGTAGCTTTTGGCATGCTTGAATCCTGCACGTAGCAGTCGTTATTCAGTTGCCTGCCATGTTGTCTTCAGATCTTGGGGCTCTTAGTGGACTTGAATCAATGGCCTACAGTGTGGTCTGGTGATATCAGGACTGTGCCTTTTTACTTGTCAACCTTGGTTTGTCAGCCTCAGCATCCAGCAGCTGCCTGAGTGAAGAAAACCTCCAGCTTCAGTGTGTTGGGAGCAAGAGGCAGAGCTGAAGACTAAGGTCGAGAATCTTTCACCCAGCCCCTAGAGCCTGGCACTTTGAACTTGGACTTCTAGCCTCCAAAACTGTAAGAGAATAAACTCCTGTTTGTTAAAGCCATATACCTGTGGTGTTTTCTGTTAGAGCAGTACGAAGTAACCAAAATACCACCACAGCTCTATGCCTTTTCAAAGAGACAAGACCCCAAACTTCTGCCTTAAATTCAACAAGGAAGACTTCCCCAGGGGTCGATCTGGTGCCTGACAGCCCCTCCTCCACCTGGACAGTGTCACCTGCAAACATGCTCCCATAGTCAGCACTCTGCAAGCCTTCCTGCAAACCCCATGGCCTCTGAAACCAAGAGGACCAATTTCCCTGGGGATCAATTAGGATTAGTCTGCCCCCTTGCAGTTGGTGCTGAGGACTACTGACTGAGACTGCTGTGTGTTAGGAAGCAAGAGTCTCAGAGTTTCTACTCATAGCCAACAATCTAGCAGGGGGACTCATTACTATGGGCAGATCTTCTTGGGGATTTGACCAGAGTATGCTCTGGTAGCATGGTGCCTAAGGCACTTGACTGCTAACCAGAAGGCTGGCAGTTCAAACCCACCAGCCACTCCTCGGAAGGAAGGTTGGGCAATCCACTTCTGTAGTGATACCGCCTCAGAAACCCGAAGACGGGTCACTATGAATCGAGTCCGACTCAACAACACATAACAACAAAAACAACATGAAATTCCCTTCCCCACCTCGTAATTATTGGTTGCCAGATTGTTTTAAACTGCTGAAGAAGGCCCCCACAATATAATCTGCTCCCATAGACAACATTCCACCTACCTCCATGTGTGCCCCAAATCCAGGCCTCTGAAACCAACAGGAATGACCTCCTTGTCTGGTCTGCCTTATAGTCAGCACTGAGGATTGCTGACTGAGGGTTCTGTGTGCTAGAAAGTTGGCATCTTGAGTGGAGGATACATTCACAGCCAATATAATATAGGGTAGACTCTCCTAGCAAGCAACAAGGCAGACTTCCCTGGGAATCCATTCAAAATGTGACTACCCTCTCCCCAACCAGTAACTGTTGGCTGCTGGACTGATATGAATTCCTACAGAAGGTTCCCAACAGTGGAATCAGGAAGTGGGTCCTTAAGTGGAGGCTGTTCCCCAACCACCACAGGGCCACTGGGGCTCTGAAATCAACAAGACAGATATCTCAGAGCTATTTCTGGGGAGTGTCAGCTCCTCCTCCTCCTGAAATGGAGAAGAGCCTACTTCTTGTTGTTGCTGTTGTTAGGTGTCATTGAGTTATCTCTGACTCATAGCAACCCCATGCACAGCAGAATGAAACACTGACTGGTTCTGTGCCAGCTCCACCATCGCTGCCATACCTGAGCCCATCATTGTAGCCATTGTGTCCATCCATCTTGTTGAGGGTCTTCCCTTTTTTCATTGACCTTCCACTTTACCAAGCATGGTATCCTTCTCCAAGGAATGGTCTCTTCTTACAAAATGACCAAAGTAGGTGAGATGAAGTCTGGCCATTCTGGCTTTCAAAGAGCATTATGGCTGCACTTCATCCAAGACAGATTTCTTAGTTCTTTTAGCAGTCCATGGTATTTCAACATTCTTTGCCAGCACCACAACTCAAAAGCATCAGCTCTTCATCAGTCTTCCTTATTCATTGTCCAGCTCTTTCATGATATGAGGTGATTAAAAATATGATGGCTTGTGTCAGGCACACCTTAGTCCTTAAGGAGACATCTTTGCTCTTCAGCACTTGAAAGAGGTCTTTTGCAGCTGATTTGTCCAGTGTTATATGTTGTCTGATATCTTGACTGCTGCTTCCATTGGCATCGATTGTAGAACCAAGTAATATGAAGTTTTGACAACTTCAATCTTTTGTCCATTCATCATGATGCTGCTTATTGGCCCAGTGGTGAGGATTTTTGTTTTCTTTAAATTGAGATGCAATCCATACTGCAGTCTTCATTAGTGTTTCAAGTCATTCTCACTTTCAGCAAGCAAAGTTGTGTTGTCAGCATATCGCAGGTTGTTAATGATTCTTCCTCTAACCCTGATGCTATGTTCCTCTTCATATAGTCTAGCTTCTCAGATTATTAGCTCAGCATAGAGATTGAATAAATATGGTGAAAGGATACAACCATGTCACACTCCCTTCTTGATTTTAAACCATGCATTGTCCCCTTGTTCTGTTCAAATGACAGCCTCCTGGTCTATACAGTTTCCTCATGAGTACAATTTAGTGTTCTAGAATTCCCATTCTTCTCAATGTTACCCACAATTTGTTATGATTCACACAATTGAATGCTTTTGCATAGTCAATAAAACACAAGTAAACATCTTTCTGGTATTCTTTGTTTTGATCCAAGATCTATCTGACACCAGCAATGATATTCCTCATTCCATGTCCTCTTCTGTATCTAGCTTGCATTTCTGGAAGTTCTCTGTCAACATACTGCTGTAACCATTTTTGAATTACCTTCAGTAAGATTTTACTTGTGGGCGACATTGAAGATTGATTGTTTGATAATTTCCACATTCTGCGGGATCACCTTTCTTTGGGATGGGTACAAATATGGCATTGGGTCATTGGCATTTTTGAGGGTGTTAACTTTCCTAGTTTCCCCTAGTATTTGTCATTTTTGTTTGTACTACTTTCTGCCAGAAATTCTTAGTAGGAAAGAGCCTTCTGCCTTTGCTTACTATTGCTTCTTCCACTCTATGATACCTCCTTCTCCCTCCCTGGTTAACTGGGGTTTGAAAGTTCCAGATCCTGTTTTTTCAACTTTCAGTCTCTCCCAAACACACCAGAGAACACACTGTAGTCAGTCTGCCCACAAATGGGGAATGGTGGTATTTGGAGTCTAGCTGTGCTCCCCCTGAATGCTAGCTCAGATATAAATAGACCACAAAAAGCAAGGAAGGGAATCTTGAGCAAAACTTGATGGTACCATCCAGCTCCAAAATATGCTGTGTGTGTGTGAATTTTCTGACTGAATACATGGTTGAAGAGACAGAAAATTGAAGAGAGTAATAAACAAAGAAAGGGGACTGCACCCACTGGTGTAGATTGTTTAGTACATGATATCCCACCTAAGTGGCAGTGCCCACCGGACTGACCATAGTGTGTTCTCTGGTGTATTTGGGAGAGACTGAAAATTGAAAAACAAGATCTGGAACTTTCAAATACTAATTAACCAGGGAGAGAGAAAGAAATATAGAGTGGAAGAAGAAACAGCAAGCAAAGGCAGAAGGATCTGCCCAACTAAGAGTTTCTAGCAGAAAGGTACAGGCAAAAATACCAAATACTGGGGAAAACTGAGAAAGTTAACACCCTCAAAAATTCCATGGCCCAACAAAAAATCATAAGGCACACAAAGAAAAATGAAACAATGGGCCATCCAAATGAACATGACAAGGAGAATAAAAGTGCATCTAGGGATGACCAAATAATGGAAAAAAATGTAAGAATATAATACAGCAACATTAAAATTAATTAAAGAGCTAAGTGAAGACACAGAGGGCTAAAAGAAATAAGGAAAATAATGCAAGAACAAAATGAGGATCTAAAAAGAGAGATATTGCAAATAAAAAGGACAATAACGGAAATGAGAACCACAATAAAAGAAATTCACAATAGATTTAATTAGCCAGAAGAAAATAAAAATTATAGATGCTGAAGAGCATCAACAATGGAAGCTCAAGAAGGCTGAACACAATTTAAGAATTTATGAGACAACAACAAAAGACCTAATATATGCATCATGGGAATTCCAGAAAGACTTGAATCAATAAACTCAAGAGGCTCAAAGAACCCCTACCAGGATAAACCCAAGGACATCTACACCAAGATACATCATA